TTAGGGTTTCTTCCTCCAGCTCTTACTCGTCGAGTCCCTTCTTGGACTCGGCGAGTAGTTCACTAAAACACGCGGACCAACCCGCTGCTACTCGACGAGTAGGGCAACCAACTCGTCGAGTAGACCTTGAATCAAGAAAATTCTTATTTAAAATCGATACCTGAGAATCGGTGCGTTACAATTATGTACCATGTAACTAACCGTTTCACCAAAATTTGTTTGGAATATTGCTGGTTCCTCAAAACTGATGTTGTTCCATATGTTTTCATTATCCACTTCTTCTACAAACACCTCAATAGGTTCTCTGTTCATAAACACATAATCGATACCTGAGAATCGGTGCGTTACAATTATGTACCATGTAACTAACCGTTTCACCAAAATTTGTTTGGAATATTGCAGGTTCCTCAAAACTGATGTTGTTCCATATGTTTTCATTATCCACTTCTTCTACAAACACCTCAGTAGGTTCTCTGTTCATAAACACATGTTGCTCCAGTGCATGTAGTCGTTTCAACACCTCCTCTAAGCTTGGTTTCCCACTAGGTCCACCTCTATCGTGAGAGTGACCACTAGGTCTACCTCCTCTAAAATGGTCCCGTACTGGGGATGGAATTGAATTCCGTTCACCATATACATACTCTTGACATGACATATAATAAGAAGACGGCATCTCATCATCACTCGGTGACATGTTATTTCTTGGTCGTCGTCCCTCCTAAAACAATTTAACATCTTAAAAATGCATATAAAAGTGTAATAAGGAATTTTTTAAAATTAAAATAATATTTATAAACCTTTGTCATTTCAAAATTCTTGTTCACATCAACCCATTTCAATTTTTGGGTACCACTCCATCGTTTCATCCGAGGTGTGTCTCTATTTTTTCTTAACGCAAATCCACCAGCACGAACAGCTGGAAGCATCTCATATACAATTTTCAGAATTTTCAGAATTATAGTAATAAAAATTAAAATAACTAACATAGCAATAAAATCTTACAAATAAAAATAAATTTGTATACCCTAAGTGGCACCGTAAATCCTGAAACGGAGTATTTAAAAGTTTGACAACGCTCTGGCAACGAAAAATATCTATATATCTTGTTCCACGTATCCTCAAGGTCATCAAAGGTAAACTCCCACAGATAGCTACCCCAAGCAAAACTGGCAAAAAAATATTAATTATAATATACATTAAGATTAATAATATGAAACTTTCAAAGTAAACAAAAAATACTTGTTTCACACATCCAAATTCTCGACCAAAAAAACCAGTCTTGCGGCACCCGATCATTTATTTATTTTCCCAAAAATCCTTCACACAAAACGTATATAAGACAGACTCTAACTGCATCATCGACGGTAGCTTCTAAGAAGGGATGATTCAAAATAAAACTTTTCAAGTCACAGATTTTCACCGAACTATTTCTATGGTTCGGAAATAGACGTTCACACAATAAACATCTTTTTTTACTACTAACTTTTTTTTCTGACTTTTTGCCAATCATTTTGGGATACATGCCAAAATTAAACCTGATTATCAAACAAAACTCTTCCGGGCCATAAACCATTTTCGTATCCCCAAAATATAACTGTTTTATGTCATCTGGGGATAAAACGACGTCCGGCCGTATCTGATGAAGAAACATTTTATTGAACAGCAATTTGTCCCCTTGTAAATGAGGGACGTCTAACAAGTAATCAAACACAGTTTGTCTAAAACTATTGCGTCGTGCACCATGTAGCACCTCCAATACTTCCTAAATGTTACATTCCGATCCTTTTAAGTTGACAATAGCTTTAACATTCAAATTTTTATAATCACGCTGAAAAAACAACAACATATTAGAAAACTAAACAACTATTTCCTTTAAAAATATCCCGATATTAAATGGAATAAATAACCCAACATTCAAATTACAAACATAAAAAATGCATAAACCAACATTAAAACAATAATTTCTTTATTCTTGCTGAAAAACAAAAACATATTGTAACCATTTTTCAACTTAAACGACAAGTATACAAACGACAAATAAAAAACAATAACATATTGTAATCATTTTACTAAATGTACAACAAGCCAATGCACATATTAGAAAACTAAACAACTATTTCCTTTAAAAATATTGAGATATTAAATGGAATAAATAATCCAACATTCAAATTACAAACATAAAAAATGCATAAACCAACATTCAAACAATAATTTCTATATTCTCGCTGAAAAACTAAAACATATTGAAACCATTTTTGCAACTCAAACGACAAGTATACAAACGAAAAATAAAAAAACAATAACATATTCTAACCATTTTACTAAATGTACAACAAGCCAATGCATATTTTACGCAGTCTATACTTGTACATTCATACAACCACTAACCAAATAGCATAAAAACTTAACCTCTAACCAAATCGCATCAAAACTTTAAGCTACTAATAAATAATATTATATCTTTCAAATACAATGGATTCACCAACAATTAACAAAAGAAAATAGCTAACCTAAAATCACCAACAATGGATTCACAAATTATCAAGCCAAATATGCACGACCGAAAATTAAACCCTCTTTTTTCTAAACCTTGATTTTATTAATTCAATCAAGCATATACATGAATAAAGAACAAGTAAACGTTTATACATGAAATTATAATAGTGATGCTGAGGAACAAATTTGGAACTGTAACAAAACAATCACCAAGCTTCGTTTCTTTCACCCCTACACATCATAACCAAACCCGATCCATTTAATATTTTCTTAGTTCTCCAAGGTTCTTCAATGGTGGATTATTCCCTAAAAATGTTTCACCGACCCTCTATTATTGGCACCCATAAACAGATCAACAATTTTGTCGGCAAACCATTTGGATTAAGTAAAAACCCAGAAAAAAACCCACAAAGATCGTTGAAAAAAATAAACACCCATATGAGAAAGTTGGTTCTGAAGGAATTGTTCTTGCTCTTGTTCAAATCAAACTCTGAACAAACTACAAACAATACCAAATATTTGTTAATGAATCTTTGGGTCAATCAATCCAATTTGTTGTTTTCTGAGATTCATTCCAGTTTCTTGTGAAATCAAACCTAAAAACCCCCATGAAATCAAACCTAAAACTAACCAGAGTTTGCACCAGTAGGGAAGGGAAAAAACAAACTAGGTTCCGATTTGACTGCAACCAACATCTCGGCCTCAGGGAAACAAACTATGTTTCGATATAATTTGAGAGAAGTAGAGTATGATCAGGGCCGGTCCTAGACAATTTGGGGCCCGGGGCAAAAAAAAATGAGGCCCTCATATTGTTTTTTAGGTAAAATAGAGGGCGGCACCTTCGTCTTTTCCAGGAATTTGGCGGCATATATACTTTGCTTTCTGATTCGCACATACCAGATTTTTGATGCAAGCTCAAAGGCCTCTGGACCACCTGGGATTCATCTATGGCTACCTTATTATACTGTATAATAAGGTAGCCATAGATGAATCCCAGGTGGTCCAGAGGCCTTTGAGCTTGCATCAAAAATCTGGTATGTGCGAATCAGAAAGCAAAGTATATACGCCGCCAAATTCCTGGAAAAGACGGAGGATTCTGAAGAAGGAAAGCATGTGCGAATCAGAAATGTTTCTTGTGCGTGTGGTTTTGATTTTAAAGGTTAATGTCCATATTCTCAATTTATCGTTAGGAGAGAGAGAGGAGAGAGAGAGAGAGAGAGAGAGAGAGAGAGAGAGAGAGAGAGAGAGAGAGAGAGAGAGAGAGAGAGACCCTTTAATATTGAATAATTATATTCTTTTCTTTTTTTTTAAATAAGGCAACTTCATAAATGATCCCTGTGATAGTGAAATGACACAATTGTCCTTCACTTAACGGCCAAAAGCTAACCGAGTTAGCGAAAATGACCATTTGTTAAAAGTTTTGAAACCACAGGGACCATCGGTGAGGCTTTTTAAAATTAGGGACTAAACTTCATATTTTCGGAAACCACAGGGACCATTTTTGAAGTTTTGTCTTTTATTTGTCAGTTTAATTAAAAAAATATATAAATCAAATATAAAACTAATAATAAAATAAGATTGAATATATATTGGATTTGAAATTTAATTGAAAAAGAAAATATTAAATTCATTGAACCACTTGTTTTGAAGTAACATCAACTACATTTGAGGATTTCATTGTATTAACAGTCTTTTAATAAGGTTTCAACCATGTTTGACCAAATTGCACCATAAGAGATTTACCTTCTATTGAACGATGGAACACTACTACAAACCGGCAAATAGAATACTCTTAATAGAATACGGTTGCATAAGAATCCGTATCATATCAGAGATAGAGTACTATTCACAAAAACAACCCGTACAAAATCAAATAGAATATTGTTTTCATAACCAACAAGACTTTATTTACATACAAAAAATATGGTTATATTAAAAATACACATATATAACACCACTAGACCTATTATAATAACCATTGTATCATTTTTTTTGTGACAATTAAAGATTTTTTTAAGAAGATCAAAATGGGTGGAATGCACCATTTTTTCTCTCCCACCTGTGTTGAGCTTTTCAAACACATAAAAACAAAAAGGTAATTGAAGATCGAAATCGGTGGTGTGCACCAATTTTCAATCTCAAGTTGAAAAGTAAAGCCATCTGCACTTCGCCATTCACCTGCTGCCACCGCCTAACTGACTCCTTCCTCATTTGTCACCGACCATGTCAGACCTCGTTTCCTATTTTAATTCAACCCTACCTTATTCCATTTTCAATGTATAATAGTATGTTGTGCACACATCTAACTTGTTAACAGTCCTCACAGTTCAAGTCAAATGTTGAACAAGATAAAAGATGCTCCTCTCAACCGGTAGTTGTCGGCCTGCTAATTTCTCCGACCTTATTAGTTATTATATGTATATGTTAAGTTGTACCAATATGTGATAATCAAACAATTTTTTAATGTTTGAACAAAAACAAAGCAACCTCGCATAACTAAGAGTATGCCAGTAATCTCGAAGGGTGTTATGAAGAAGACCAAGCCAACAAAGGAAAGTTTGATACCACATACTTCTAATAAGCAAGTCGAACTAGAAAAAATGCCCTTGGTCATGAAAAGAATGTATAGACGTTTGATGAATCGTGAAGCTCATGATGATGCGATTTATGTTGAAGCCGAACCTGGGATCCTTGGAGCTCAGAAATTGAAACGTACTTTTTACCCCGAGGGATTTTACGTCTGTTTGAATAAAATGGGCTTGATATTAGTGTCAAACTTGGTTTCAATGTAAGTACAACAACAATGTTTAAATTATTTTCGTTTATAGTATTTTGATTTATAATGTATATTTTCTGGTTTGTAGCATGTTACATTCAATGTTTGAAACACGTGGTGGTAATAAAAGTGAACAAATGTGCTTTCATTTCCCCGAGCGTGATTCAGGAACCGATATGCGAGTCAAATCGCGAGGGTGTTGTAAGTTACATTGTTGATGCAATGCGCTTCCATAAAGACAAATAGTTTTTTGTCGCACCCTATTGGCAAGGGTATTGAATCTTACTACTTTTTATTGGCTTGATTTCTTTATTGTGTATACTAAAATGTATTAACATAACTAGATTGCATTGGATGTTGCTAGTAATCTGCCCAAACTAAGGCACAGGGTATATCTTGGATTCCCAAAAAAATCCGGATGAGAAGCTCGTGGAGAACTACATAGTCGTGAAATATGTCGAAGAGTAAGAAATCTTTTTGTATTTCCAATTGTTATTTCTTTCTATGGCCTTTTTAATTTTTTCCTAATCTTCATTTTAGGGATGTTGCAAGGCTTAAGGAAGATATCGACACAACACATCCAATGAATTGGACACTTGTCAAGGTAAAAGTACTTCATGGGTTGTAACATACACTTTACTAAACTTGTTCAATTATCATGTTTCATATGCTTGTTAGTTTAAAAATGATTATTATTAGATATTATTTGGTTTTAAACGTTTAAAGTGGGTAGTTATAGTAATATAGAATTATATGTGTTAAAAACACCATTTTTCGATATGGTTTTGAACGTTGAGTTCTAACAAAATAGTTTTATAATATTTGAAGTAAAACTAAGTTTGGAATCATTTGGAAGGTATTGGAAGTGATGGGGAAGTCTTATGTGATTCCGATCAAAAAGTCAACTATCGGAATTAACGAAAATATAACGTCGAAGTTGGAAATAAGTAAAAATGATTTTATTGGA